CGTTACATGAACAGGTTATCATACCTAATAAAAAGGGGGGAGTAGTTCTTGTACTCTTCTTCATCTAATTTAAAGTCCTTCGTTAGAATCCTGGTGGTATTATAAGCCATGCCCGTATTATCGTAAGTTCCAGAGTCACTCATAGGCAAATACTCAGCATACCACGCCCCTCCGTAGTGAAGAAAGGATGATCCTATAACGAAGAATAGAACAACTCCAATGACGGTATTGGCGATGGCGTGCCTTTTCTTGATTAGCTACACCTATCAAGAGTTTCCGTGAGACATACCACGGCGGAATGAGCGGCGAGCCAACGTATCCTGCTATTTGAGTCCAGTCAAAGGTGATGGGAAGAATCGAAACACCAGTCTGCCCTCCGAATAGCTGATTCACAATAGGATTCTGGGGTGCCATCCATGTGGCCACAGCAAAGATACTCAGAAATTGCGCCAGAAAGCCTGGAATGAAGTAGTATACGAATGAGCATGCAGTTACAATGGCGAACCACTTGTACCTGTGCATTCTGCCTCCCAAAATGGTAGGATCCGGTGCATCATTTGTCTCGTACATGGCATTCATGAGAGTTACGCCAACAAGATTCTCGGGCCAGATCATGGATGCAGGATAGACTTCTAGGGTTAGTTGAAGGACCGTCATGGGATAGTGACAACTTGCCTAAGAACTTGCGTAGCATTCCCGCGATGCCGTATCCCACAGATTGCGTTGAGATAGTCAGGAGAAGCTGGAACACGAGACCAAAGTCCTGCTTGTAGAAGACAACTTGTGCAAGGATGATATCGGTAGCATACGCAACAGAGAATGACACACTGGCCATGACAACGATAATTGCGTGCTCCTTGACATTAAAGGGACCAGGATTCAGAGTCCACGTGATACCAAAAGTGTTGAACTCCCTGTTACTCACGAACTTCGACCAGCCATGGCCCATAGGCCACGCAACGATTTGAGCGATGAGAGGCCCAATACTGATGGACGGTTGGCGGAGAGATAGTAGTGTATTCGTGGAAGCCCCGAGAGTAACTAACATCAAGCCTATAGTCCAAGCTCTCACAGTATTGCATGGAAGATCTTCGTCGAAGTTTCTTACCGCAGCTCGAACTTCAGGATAAGGGGAGTTTTCTTCCTCTTCGTCGTCTGCATCATCACTGAGCAGCGCTGCTTCATCACCAGACTCTCCTGAGCTCTTTCGTCGCGTCTCATACTCCTGGGGTAGATTTGGGTCCATGAGCATCTCGTATTCCGAACCGGCGTCGTCATCATTTCGCGCACCGGATGAGGATGCCCACTCATGGAGTCGATGCTTGAGGTTCTCATTTGATGAGTCCTCAATCTCAAGAGACGTGGATAAGCGTCCACTAGGACCTCCTATACTTTGACCAACCGCTTCGGCTGGTAATACCGGCCCTAGCTTCTTGTTCTTTGGCATTGTGAGATTTGGCTCTTCTCACCCAGGGTTATCGGAAAGTGGGCTATAGTAATTTACAGCTCATCTGGTTCTCTAGTCAATTCAGAGATTCTAAATACCACGTTAGCATCTCAAAGGCATTGCACTTTGTGGTATGAACTCACTCTTAGTCTCAAGTCCTAGATCCTAGGGAGAGAACGGGTGTGGTTGAGATCGAGCTAGAACATGTATCCTTCCTTATCTACACAGAGAATGGGCGTATCTGAGCTGAGTATAAGAGTTTTTGAAGGCTCGAGACTCGAGGTGTCGTTGAAGTCGTGTCGTTATATGAAGGAACTGTCCTTTTGTTTGTACTACTTTGTGGCGTCTATTGAGGCTCGGGTCTTCTCATATGCCTGTGAGCAAACAAAAATTGACAACAATACAAGCTGTTGGTTCAGCACCAAACAATCAAACGAACGAATCCTCCAAATAATCCGAAGAAGGTAAGAGATCTAGTCAGGAGGATGTTGTTCAAGATAAGGTTCGGGAGGATTCCCATTCAACTTATGAGAGGTACCTCAGACATGCCCCTGTATCAAGATGGCACTAAGCCTGACACGGAAATTCCACTTCGGTTTGGATCAAATAATCCATCGATTTTATACAACATCAGCTCCGCCATCCGTCCCGTAATCACTTGGACCTGTATAAACACTTGATTTGTATCAGGGTTTCTATACGATTCAACTGAGCCTTTGAGACTCTCATTCAAGACCTGTTACTCGGAATGAGTTTATGATGCGTCGTGTCGTAGTGACAGGCCTTGGAGCCATCACGCCCTTGGGAGTCGGCGTAAGGCGAACATGGACTCGTCTTATTAACAACGAATGCGGAATCGTCAGCGTCGCAGATCTCGAGCCTCAGGCGCGATGGAAAGAGTTGACGAGCACAGTCTCTGGGTTAGTGCCCAGTGGTGATGGAGAAGGACGATGGAGGGCATCAGATTGGGTCAATGCAAATGAGCAACGACGAATGTCAAAATTTACACAATATGCCATCGCAGCTAGCGACATGGCTCTTAGGGACTCTGGGTGGGAACCGAAGAACGCAGAGCAGCAGGAGGCAACAGGTGTCGGCCTTGGAAGTGGTATTGGAAATCTAGACGAGATTTACGAGACCAGTTTAGTGCACCATCAAGACGTGAGAAGTCATTCGGTTATTGTCGAACCTATGCTAAATATGTGACAGGGCTACAAGAAGGTGTCCCCGTTATTTGTCCCCAAGATTCTTATTAATATGGCCGCCGGCCATGTGGCCATGAAATACGGCTTCCAGGGCCCCAACCACACGGCCACCACGGCTTGCACGACTGGCGCACACTCAATCGGAGATGCAGCACGGTTTATCACCATGGGAGACGCCGATGTAATGGTCGCCGGTGGTTCGGAATCATGTATCCATCCCTTAACTTTCGCTGGCTTCGGCAGAGCGAGATCCCTGTCCACAGCGTACAACGACAATCCTACAGCAAGCTGCCGTCCGTTTGATGCTGACCGCAATGGCTTCGTTGTTTCTGAGGGTGCTGCAGTAGTGGTTCTCGAAGAATTAGAGCACGCCAAAGCACGGGGAGCCCACATATATGCTGAAATCAAGGGCTACGGTTGCAGCGGTGATGCTCACCATATGACAGCACCACGAGAAGATGGCCATGGTGCATATCTTGCTATGAAGAAAGCACTCAAAAGTGCAGGCATCAAACCTTCACAGGTCGACTACATCAACGCACACGCAACAGCAACTCACGTTGGCGATGTAGCGGAAACGTCGGCCATCAAACAGATCATGCTGGGCGAAGAGGGACACCAGAAAGAGTCGGATGTCACAGTCAGCAGCACCAAGGGCGCAGTCGGGCATTTGCTGGGTGCCGCTGGAGCTATTGAGGCTTTGTTTTGCATCCTAGCCATTCATGAGGTATGTGACCTCCGCAGCAGTGAGGACGCATTCACTAACTATTCCTAGGGGGTTGTACCAGCAACATTAAACCTGCAGAAGCCAGATGTTGGAGCTGCCTTTAATTTTGTGCCAAATGAAGCACAAGAGAAGACAGTTCGTGTAGCTGTGTCCAACAGCTTTGGCTTTGGCGGTACAAATAGCTCATTGTTATTTTCCAAATATCAATGATGCTAACGTAAAATGTAAAATAGCTGTATACTATTGTATTTCTGCTGATCAAATTCCTCTTTATTCTGGTTGATACAGAGCACAGTGGATACAGTGCATTTCGCACCATATTACCGACAGCCGAACCAGTCACAAAATTTCAGATTCAACTTACTAGCTTAGAATCCAAGGGTCCATGACGATAACACTCCAAGTGCCTCTCATCCCGCCTTGCCCAGGCCCTTCACGCCGAATTTCCCTACTGGACATACTCTCACAATGAGCATGACCTGCGAGACATGTAGAACCCAGGCCCGGGCCGTCCTCCGGGCTGCAATGCGAGCTGGCGCATCACGAGCCGCTGCACCGACGACGAGGAGTTTCCTTCCACCCGCTGCGGTTGTTACTCGACGACATTTCAGCAACACGAGTTCGAGAAGCCTCCTCAAGGGTATTGGAAAGTCTATGGCGGAGCCGTATCGTGTGTTGGGTGCGACAGAGCAGCTTTTCAAGGCTTCAGCGAAGGCGGCGGATTATCACATCACTGAGAAGGAGAGAAAAGATGATCAGGTGCAGCTTGCGGAGGATGGTGAAGAGATTGGGCATTCTCTGAACCCTGATAGTCCCTGGCATCACAGTGCGTCTCTCAAAAATCTTAAAGAATTCGTCCCATGCTAACTTTCACAGCCTTCAAACTTCCTCCAACCTTCAGCACCTGGTCCCATGTAACCATGCTTCACCTCTACCTAATCAACACCCGAATACGTTGCTTCGACCGCGAGGGCTTCCAAAACTGGCAGCACCAGCTCACAGATCACTTCTTCTTCGAGTGCGAGAAGAAGATGCACATCGACCACCACATCACGTCGAGCGCCCTCCGCCAGCGATACCTCAAGGACATCTTCGTTCAGTGGCGTGGTCTCCTGCTAGCATATGACGAGGGCCTCATCAAGGGCGATGCGATGCTAGCAAGCGCCATCTGGCGAAACCTGTTCAAGGGCTCTGCTGATGCGGATCCTAGAGCTCTTCTTGCTATTGTGGGCTGGATGAGATCGACACTGTTGCAGTTTGAGGCTGTTTCGGACAATAACCTTCCTGCGCAATTACCGGTGATTATGGCCAAGCCAGTGGACGTGTTCTGGACGAGATTGGAGAAGCAACTTGGCGGCCAGCAGGAGGATAGTCTTCCTGTCAAGGAGGTGAAGGAGGAGCATGTATCAACAGAGGAGACAGCCAAGGTTTCAGCGAACTAGAGCGCGGAAGGAAGATTTGTACTATCAGATGGATGAATGTATGGGTTACATGACAAAAAAAATAGAACGGGAGGGCTGTATGAATAGGGCATTGGGTGACGGTCGTATATGAATAATTCACTGATGATATTCCACCTCATATATATGTTTTTTTGTTGTGATTATCTCTGTATGGTCGACTAATCACGCTTCTCCCACATTTGAAACTCATATTTTGTGCCAGCCTCTTCTTGACCACCCTCTTCAATTTCTTCACCTGTCCAGTCCTGCAATTCCTCTCTAGACTTTCTCTCCCATGATCCATCCTTCAAGTCGGTAGGGAAGAAAGTATCGCAGTCATAATCACGTTCAATACTCGTGAGGAGGATCCGTCGCGATTCTGGCAGTCTGAGAGCGGCGTCATAGATCTGTGCACCACCGATGACGAAAATTCGGCCGACGTCGCTATGAGTACGGGCGTATTGAAGAGCAAGTTCAAGAGACTGAACTCTCACGGGTTCAGAGGGTTCCACTGTCTCGGGGAGCTTTGAAGGTGCGGAGCGGGATATGACAATGTTGAGACGGTCTTTGAGAGGGCGGAATTTGGTGGGGATTGAGTCCCAGGTTTTGCGACCCATGATGACTGCGTTGATAGAGGATGAGGGAGCCTTGGTCGAGTCAGCACGTGGCTCTCGTGGTCTCTTCAATACAGCGATAACACAGCGATGTATAGTTAGCAAGGTAAGGAAGGGCAATGTATACTATACCTGTGGTGGCACGCGAGTTGTGACGCGCGCAAAGTACTTCATCTCTTTACGTAGACCTTGCCAGGGCATTGTGCCATGGAGGCCAATGCCCATGTTGCGAGTGGCCGCGACTATGAGATTCAGTTCGAGAGACTGCATTGCTCAAGATGTTGGTGATGGATCTGTGAGGTTAGAGGTGGAGGTTTGATGATGCTTAAGTTGAGTGGATTTGTTTGTGTGACTAATGACGCCTGAGACATGACATGACGATGTATCACGGATTTATTCTACATCTTTCACTCTTCTTACGTTTGGAAGTAATACGTCGCGTTTCGTTTCATCTGCAATAAATTCCGTCTTCATTGTTGGTACAAATCCAGTTCCAGGCTTATGATTTCTTTCTGTAACCACCAAGCTTATCTACCTAGGTAGGCCTACCCTCACAACTTTGACGGAGGCAAAATCTCAACATCCTTGAAAGGTACCCCCAGAAACCGGTAAATATGATTAAATCTGCCAAGTCAGTCTCTGTTTTCTTTCCTTTACGACAACGACGACTTACCTGTCACTTCCAAAGAAAGCCTCCGACTTGCCATCATCGCGGGTCACAATCAACCAAGGAGCTCCAAAAGCACCCTTCTGAACCGCTTCACCAGTAAGATCTTTGACCCTCTCCTTCATGCTCTCTCTCCCATTCATGATCTTCTCAACATCTTCATCGGAGAACAGCTTCTTGCCAGACCCTCCATCAAGCTCATCGGTAGCTTCTTTCAGAGCTGCAATGAGCTTCTCGTCCTCGGCAAGATTGACATGAGGAGGCAGCCAGATCCTGTGGAAGAGGAATCGAATTGCAGCGAGATAAGTTGCCTCTGGGTAGTTCTCCTTGATAAAGTGTAGGGCGCGGAGAGGTGACACGGTCTTTGCGATGGCAACGATATCGGGTGGCGAGCCTTGATAGGGAACTCCAAGACGCTCAGCAGCGCGGAACGAGTCTCTAGCAAGATATTTCCCCTTGGCCTTGAGAACCCATGGAGGACGGTTGCCTAAATCGATGTAAGAAGAAGTTGTATTCGGTTCAATATAGCTAGTTTACCTGATGTCTGCATAATACCGCCCAAAAAGACAGGGATGAAGCTATAAAAGTCAGCGATTTGCTCAAAGATGTGGATAGTCATGAACATACTTCACTTGTACTCCATGAGCAGCAAGTTTGCTCATGTTCTGCCTCAAGTCCACATATCCTACATAACTGTAGAATGACACTGTTACATATCAGAGCTGTCCGGGAATAGAGACGTTGGGCTTCTCACCAATGTCGAGGTAGCAGTCGATACGTCCACCCATTTTAGCACAATGCTTCTTTCTGACGTTATTCGATGAGTAGATGACGAGATTTGTATCCGTGCTTGCAGGTACATACATAAATACATACATTTCCAAGGTGGAGGGTGCTTTATTAAACGGATCTCGGCCCCCCGGTCCATGTGGGGTCTTCCCCCGTGCCGAGGCTCGGGGAAGGTGGAGGCTGGGGTGCATCGGACTTGGACGTTTCGGAACATTTGATTTGATCTGATCTATAAGCAGATCGTCAGTATTTATACAAACTCTCAAACAACAAGTCTCTGAGTAAAACAATTATCCACAATGGTATCCAAGAAACCTGTTGCCCTTGTTGTAGGCGCATCCAGAGGCATCGGCCGTCAAGTCGCCGTTGACCTCGCCCGCAATGGCTACGCTGGTATGTCAAGCTTCGCTGTATCTATTGTACCTACCAGGTATGAAGCTAACACTCTGAAGTTGTTGTTGCTGCAAAGACTATCAGTGATCCCTCTGGTCTACCTGAGCCCTTTCCTCCAAATCCCAACTCTTCCGCTTCTACCATCACAACAGTTGCTCGCGAGATTACTTCTGAGGGAGGCGACGCTACTGCTATTCAGGTCGACGTCCGCTATCCTGAGAGTATAGATGCTCTTGTATCAAATACTATCTCCGTGAGTTTCCCGGATTGCTCTCCCTTTTAACTCTCCCTACTGACAACTCCAGACTTATGGCCGTCTAGATGTTCTAATCTACAACTCAGGCGCCATCTTCTGGGCTCCTGTCTCGTCAACTCCCGTAAAGCGCTTCCAGCTCATGCAGCGCGTCAATCCAGAAGGACTCTACGCAACGGTTCAAGCTGTTCTTCCTCATATATCTTCTTCAGGCCGAATAGTTGTTGTTAGTCCACCTATCTACAGCCGTTTCTTCCGTGGCAAGACTGCATATGCTATGGGCAAAGTCGGTATGAGTGTTCTTACAAAGGGTCTTGCCATGGACTTTGAGCGCGAGGGGAAGAGGGATATGGCCATCACATCTATTTGGCCAGCCGTGGTATGTTAGATCTGATGTTTGAGTTTGCTTTATCAACTGACATATTAGGCTATCGAGTCGGCGGCTACAGAGAAATTCACAGCCAAAAACGCAGAGGAAGCTAACGATTTACGAAAGGCGACCATCTTCTCCGATGCTATCCTCGAGATTCTCCAAGCTTCTCCAAGCGTCGTGAACGGCGAGCTCCTCCTAGACGAAGACTTCCTCCGCAAACATGCAGGAATAACCGACTTTTCCAAATACAATGTGATTCCAGGTGCCTCACCACGGAGGATCATGCCTCAGAGTCTCCCAGACTTGACTGTAGCAGAGCAAGCAGACGAGGGCAAACGCTACGACAGCACAAAAGATAAACCCAAGCTATAGAATTATTGAAGATCGCTATTGTTTCAACATATGTAGGAAAAAAGAGACCGCTATACAGGTAGCTAATAGCACGGGGAAATGAACCTGCGCAGCCATGATATCCTCTAGAACACACATCTAATACCTCCTTGGCCATGGAAGCTGCGTTCACCAAACTCCTAGACATGATTACAAACGTACACCCGACTCTTTGAAACCCCTCCTTTCCATTCCTTTCCTTTCCCTGTCATTTTACAAAAACACATCTCTCCTGAGATTTTATGGTGCGCCAGCCATCAATAGGGGACTTGGCTACCTGGTCCCACTCCTTGCATGCCATCAATGTCGTCCATTACACCGTTGAACACGTGCATGATTTGGTCAACGACTCTGCTGCGGTTCCACTCATTTCTTGTGCGCCATATGGCGTCCATGAGCTCACGGTTGATTTGTTCAAGTTGCTCAATAGTACAGCCGCTTGTCGCGTCCGTTAGGTGCTGAAGGACTGTATCTATCTCGCCTCCAGCAAAAGGCTGAGAAGCGGAAGTGGATGAGCCCGAGTTTCGAACCGACTGGTATTCATCAGAAGTCTGATCATTGAGGATGTTGGCCATTCCGCCCACACTCTGAGCCTTGAAACCGGATGATCGCTGCGAAGGTGGACTGCCAGAGATGCCAGATGCTTGCATGAGGTTACCCCCTGCTGCAGCAGCCTGAGCTTGAGAGTGCAACCAAGAGTCATCTCCAGAAGTATTGTGCCCGGCTACGAGTAGCGTGTCTGGGATGTCGACTTGGCTATCGTCCTCAACACCTCGGTTCTCAGCATGGCCACCGTTTGTCATTTGACTAAAGTTTGACGATTGGTGAGTTGACGGATCCGAGGTTTTGGTCGTTGAAGCTTCGTTGATAACAGCTGATGGTGAAACTCCTGGGGGAAGAGTAGTCACTACTGACTTCTGTGAGATCTGAGTCATGCCAGTATGGGCCACGCTGGGGTCATGAGACTTTGGTGGAGGCCCCATGTCAGACATAGCCTGCGTATCGTCTTGGACACCACTCATCTGGACATCCTCTCCCAATGGGTGAGTGAGGCCATTGCTTAAGGGGTGTGACGAATCCTGACCAGAGGTGCCATGACCATTTGAAAGTGGGCTTCTAACTTGGAACCTGGCAGTTGTCCTCGAACCTGGCACGGCTTCTCCCAGAGTGACAGGGCCTTGAGAGTCGCTGTCATTCCCACCCAGATCAGATTGCACACGGTCTATGACAGACTGCATGGCTTTTCGCTTTCTCTCCTTCTCGGTAGCATCCTTGGCGCGCTGAACTTGGCGTCTATATAGCGCCTCCCAGTCAACTTGAGAGGTTTGGTTTTCGATACTAGCGACATCAACCTCGACGTTGCTGAGGAGTTCATTAGCCTTGAGAGTCCGCTCCTTATCTCCAATATTTTTGGCGTCTTTTGCAAGAGCCTTAATGTCGAAGAGGAAGTCCTTTGGGCGGGCATAGAAGCCGTTCGACAAGCGCTCCTCGATGGTGGTTGTCTCAAGGTTATAATAACACTTTCCAGATGCGGTATCTCTGAGAACATCGTTGTCATACTTGTCCTTGACGATCTCATATGGTCGAAGTTGTCCAGCTTCAAGGTCTGGACGCACATAATTGGGGTCCGACTCGGCGAAAAGATAATCGATCTGAGTTTGAGGGATGACAGGCTGCCTGAACTTCTTGTACTTTCGATTGATCTGATCCATAATTGGTTGAAGCTGGATTTTAAGAGCATTGAGAAGCTGGTGATCTTTCTTCTGTGCAGCCTTCATATCAGCCTTGGTAGGGGGCGGCGGTTCGATTGGAGGAGCCACAGGAAGCTCTTCAAGGACCCTCTTCTTCCGGTTTTCAGGGTCGGGGAACTCGCGGGGTTTCTTCTTAACATATTGCAACGTTGTGCTGAAATATTCCATTCGAGAATGCTACAAAAGTTAGCACAGGAGCCCATTCCACAAGTGTATTACTTACCAGATCAGGTTTCTCGATTTTCATCTGGTTCTTCTTCGCAAATCCAAAAAAGTCGCGGAAGAGTTCACTGGAAAGCTCTTCTCTATCGCCCTCTGCTGTCGCGAGAAGAAGAACCGGATCAGTAGGAGGAATAGATCGTAACATAGTCTTGAAAGTTGTAAGAGCCATAGTGTTGTGTAGCGCCATATACCAAGCTTCGATGTTAGGGATATAAATAACGCTAGGTTTGTGTCGCCTGACTTCCGTAAAGAGACCGACAATGACCTGCTCCATAGCCTGCCGGCGTTAGTCTGTAGTTTCCCATGTGAGTGCACAAACTTACTCTTCCATCACCCAAGATGCTGGGAAGATCAAAATTCTGAACATGAACGCCCTCGAAATGGTGAAGAATGGCGGAGGCAATGTAACTCTGTCCCATACCGCTAACACCATATATGATGAAGCGAGGGCGGAACACTCTGGATCGTTCAAACTCTTGGTGCATGGTTTCTCTACTAAAGCCATGATCATCGTCATCGAATTGCTCGTACATGGCTTCTTGAAGAGCTGTCATCTTCTTCCGCCGAGGCAACAAATCATCAAGGGCCTTCTTGGCTTCGTTGAACTGCTTGCGTAGTAGCGGCTCAATCGATTTCGGAAGAGGTTTAGCACCAGATGTCGCTGATCGTTCAGAGGAGGGAATAAGCTTCTTGATTGACAGCATAAAGTCGGTGGCATGAACGCCAATCTTCTCAGGGTCGACCACGAGCTTTTCCTTGGAGGCGTAAATTTGGGGATAAGTTCGCTGAATGGCATTAAGAGCTGCTTCAGTACAGAGAGCTCGTAAATCAGCACCACCATAGCCCTTTGTGTTCTCGGCTAGGGAATCTTTGAACTTCTCTGATAGTCCCCAGTCTGCCGTATGAATGTTGAGGATTGACTTTCGCCCTTCGATATCAGGCAACGGGAAGTAAAACTCTCGGTCGAATCGACCAGGTCGACGAAGAGCGGGGTCGATATTGTCAGGTCGATTGGTTGCTCCAATAACAATGACTTGACCACGACCGTCCATGCCATCCATCAATGCCAACAGGGTCGAGACAATGGAAGCATGGATCTGTTCCTGCTTGCTGGAACGAACCGGCGCAAGACCATCAATCTCATCGAAGAAAATGATACTGGGCTGAGTTCTGCGGGCTTCCTCGAAGAGCAATCGAAGCTGTTTCTCGGCTTCACCCACCCACTTGCTCAGGGCATCGGCGCCCTTACGCATGTAGAATGAGATTTTACGGCCACCAGAGCCAACTGAGTTGGCCAGAGCGCGAGCAAGCAGCGTTTTACCTGTTCCAGGAGGACCGTGGAACAAAACACCACGAGGTGGAGTGACGTGGAATCGTGTGAAAAGCTCGGGATAGAGCAAAGGAAGCTGCACCATTTCCTTCAACTGATCGATATGTCCCTGGAGACCACCAACTTTGCTGAAGTCGACGTTCAGATCAACACCCAGAGGGTCAGCGTCCGCAAGAGCTTTGCGGTCCTTGATCTTGCCAACGTTGGGAGCGCCAGCATCGGGGTTTAGACCAGGAACACCGGGAAGAAGCCCACCATGAGTCGCAGCTGTCGGCGTCATACCGACATTACCAGCTACACTAGAGCGATGCACCATCTCATCGTCGCTGCTGTCAGAATCAACCCCGCCAGCTGCGCCAGTACCCCAAGGCCCATTAAGAAGGGATCCAGCTCCGCCGCCGCCTCCGAAAGGTCCAAACGTGGTGTTAAGGCTGCGTTCCCAGCCTTGACTGGCACCGCCACGTCCTCGGCGCGAGCGAGATTGTGCAGCAGGAGCCTCAACTTCTTCCTCCTCAATATTAGCCGAGGTGAGAGGAGGCATGTAATAATTCACGCGTGTTCTCGCTCGCCGAGTGCTTTCCTGGTACACGATGGGCGATTCTTTCCTTGGGCGACGGCGACGAGAGCGCGAGTCCTGCCTAAGTTCTCGTGCCTCTTCATTCAACTCGTCCAAGTCAAATTCGGGTTCCTCGTCTCCAGAGTCCCCACCACGGCGAGATCTGGCGGGTTGGGAACGTCGGCCGCGGGGAACTGGGCTATCAACGTCGTCGTCATCTTGAGGTGGGGGCTTTTCTGCACCGGAGCCCTCTGCATCGTCAGATTCGTCGCCAGGTTCGAAGTCACTACTAACTTCTTGGGACTTTTTGCTCGATTTGCGGGTAAGTCGCCGTGTCTTTCTAGGTCCAGCATCCGATTCAGCTTCTTCCGGTGCTGCGGAGGCGTTGGCGCGGGATCCACGGGTTCGGCGAGTAACAGGCACATCATCCTCATCATCCTCCTCCTCTACCGTCTGCACGGGCGCATCTTCTCCAGGTGCATCCTGATCAGCAGCATCTAGCATTTCTTGATCAGCCACCTCTTTCTTTTCAATCTCTTCAGGATCTTGAGATAATTCATCGGGCTGGTCGGCTTCTCTGACTTCCTTAAAGCTGCTTTCCTGTGTAGCCTCTTGAATCGTCTCGGGGGCTTTCTTGAGACCTTTAAACCCACGGGTAGCTCTCGTACTCCGAGCGAATGTCTCGGGACTTCTACTTCGCGAATCGCGTGACGGGACGGCGTGTTTCCCAGAATTAGAAAGTTCGAGGAACTCTTCAGCTTCCTCTGTATGAGCTCGAGTAGTCCTACGAGGTGCAGGCAACTTGGAGTTGGTGAGTTTCAGCTTGACAACCCTGGATCTAGTTGACCTGGCGGGCTCCTCTACTGGCTCGCCTTCGGCGTCGTCTTCTTTGACATCTTCGTCAACTTTGACGTCCTCATCGCCAGGCCTATCAGATTCGTCACCAGTAGCTGATGCTTCTTCTCCTTCGCTGCTTTCTGCGTAGTTGCGGGGCTGCGTGGCAGCTTTTCTGGCGCGACGACCAGCGGCATTCACAGGAGCAGCATCATCCTCTTCTTCATCGTCGTCATCGAGGAAGTCGTCTTCGTTGCTGTCAGAGACTTCGTCCTCGTCATCATCGATGTCCGAACCCAGGTAACCGTTCCTGCGTCGGCGACTGGGTTTTCCGCTGCGTGAACGGGAGTGCTTCTTTGTGCTTTTTCGGGGTGGTCCAGCTTCCGAAGGGTCGAAATTCTCGTCTTCGGGATCGGACTTGTTGGGATCAAAGTCCTCGAGGACTCTTTTTCGTTTGCTAACCATGGTTGTTATGGTGTTTGCGCGTAAATATGATGGAAGGTTATCGGCGACGGGTATAATTTGAACTTTGGGGGTTCTGTACGCAAAGGGAGGTCAGCCAAGGGATGCCGACAGAGTCACAACAGTCACAGCTATAAGCGCGGACCTTGCATTGGATTCATCGAATGGTCGCGTTCCTTTTGATGGATTTTTTGGGGGTAAACTCACCTATATGCGCGTCTAGATATGATTTCACGTCAAAGCATGCATAGGCGCGGCCTGGGTCGCGGTTGAGCCTGTGGCGCTCAAGATCGGCGCAAAGGCATCAAGCGGAAAACAAACCAAACAACCAACCCGCGCAATGTCGATGATTGAACTGGCTGATGCTGATGGTATATTCGAAGCAAACGCGGTCAAAATAGGAGATGGAATTTGGGGGTTTGCCGCGTGAAGTGAAGGTTTAGTTACGGATACCAAACGACAGGTTAGCAATGTAGACCCACTTTCATTCAGGCAGTTGTGGTTCCAGTCTCTGATTGGTGGGTCACCACCAATTTCAATGTGATCGCAGTTTAATTGTAGCTTGATCTACGAAGCTCTCATGACAAGAACAAAACGACGAATTCTCAACATGGCTTGTTTCATGGCTCTGGGGACCTTTTTATTGTCGATAAGGTCAGTTTCGGCTTCAAATTCGTTTTCCTCGCATTTTTGACCTAACCCGAGCCCATCTGCTCTTTCAATTCTTGATCATATTTTCCAACATGCTCACGTATAAATTCGATCTATCCCAGCTCGTCCCCGGTAGTCAGCTTGATTTAAAGCTCGGTATCGTTGTAGGGCTGAAGACGTTGACAGCATGGTGCATGCGCATTACCCCAGAAAATGTATGCCTTAAAATTTAGGCAGCTCTACACAATAGACACAACAATAGATCACACATGATCATCAATAAGCTATTGAGAGGGATTTATGACTACGTACGTGTCACCAGGTAATAATCATTAGAAATTGGAGTTCGTGAATTCTGCGCTTGGTATATTGTACTGAGACTATTGTACCTTGTTGATTGACACATTATTTTAATTGTAAACAAGCGATGCACAGCATTTCCCTAGACGCTATTATCTGAATATGATGAACCATAACCCAAACATACATAGTATGACAGAGAATAAATAGAAATTATCCGTAGCACAGGAGGTCAGGGGATCGTAAGAAACGTCAACGCTTATCTATTGGACACCGCGTATACTCCGTAATCAGCTTGGTCTAGATCTCTGCTCGGCTGGTGAACCGACCTACCCTAGTGTTTCCAGGACTACAACGGGAATAGTCACATTTTCATCGTAATATTCCCGGACCCTGAATACCTTCACAGTCGGATGCTCGGCCAAACATTACGCGGCCTAGGTCTTGGCTCATAATCGCCAAGACTAGCCACGCAATGCGAAGATCGTTCCGAATGCGAGAATCTTCACGATTCGTGAAACGGAAAACACGGCCTGATCAGACTTTTTTTTCCTTGTTGTACATCACACCAAATCTAGAAACAGGTTTGAACAGATTCTGTAAAAATTTTGTATCGAATTCATGGACTCATTGTAGTTAATAGGTATTGTTACACAAAAATGGTATCATGTCTCTTGTGGTACAGTCATTCCCACCCCGACTCCTAAAAAAGTTTCCCTAATTGCGCCTGGTTGGATGGACAATTAATTGTCTGTAACCATACCAAAGACGCCACGCTTCCCAATGAATGAGAGTGTCCGTCCCGTACCAGCCAGTGACGATGAGTGAGTGTGAGACTACCAGCGCAGTGTTATGTTGCTTTGGCGTAGTTAGGCGGTCATGCTATAGTGCTGGTGATGCTGCAGAGCAGGGTTTCTTTGTTCTTGTTCGTATGTGCTCGTACAGCTGACACTTCAATCCTTGCCCAACATCGCCCGGGCGAGATCAGCCAGAGAAGGGCCGCCAAAGAGGAACTGGCTTGAATGGCGGCCACAGTAGGTAACATTGTTTACTGGTTGGGGAGCAGCCTTGAACCAAGAGCGGGAAGCTTTGGTTGTGGAAGATGCCGTAGATTGGGTCGAGAACTCGCTGGAGTATGAGTTTGTTCGTTGCTGAAATAGCGTTGTTAGTGGGGTCCAGGCTAAGTCTGAGTTCAGTGTCACATACCTTGGACTCCATGAGGGGAATTGGCTCAGTGCTTCGTCCACGCTGCTCCTCAGAAGAGGTTCTGGTGCGAGAGGATCCGAAAGCCATTGTGATGTTTGTAAAGTTGAAGAGTAGTATTTGAAGTAATTGCTCGACTGTCTTAGTCTGCTGGGTATGGGTATCGTAGATGTATCGTCTATGAACCTTCAAGGTACTGTAGTTATATTCAAGGCACTCCTGGTGCAATCTAAAAGATGTTCAAGGAGAGTTTGTTTGTTTATGAAGGAATTGATTGATGATGATGAGGATAAGACAGAATCATCAAGGGGGGTAAAGACTCCCTTAAATAAAACTTCTTGTCAACAATGCTTCTGCGGTTGATCTACCCCAAGCTGTACCAAGACCACGCCAACCCTAGTTGCTACGTAGCAGATGCCGCCCTATGGAGCGACGCTAAAAATGCCTGTAGTCAGACGAAGGCTTGGCTAGCTTGGCTGTTCTTGGGTATGACGTGCCGGTTTGGATAGCTTATGGATTCCGCGGGGTCCAATTGAAGACACGATGCGACCTTGTGGCTCACCTTTGACATTGATCGCCGTGCAGGTGGCCATTCAGGTGTTAACAAGGAGTCAGTGCTGAGTACGAGTGATACGGTAAATATTACGATAGGGTCAATCGGAAAGTAGTATGATAAGGGAGTCAGACACTGCCGTGATACAGTTATTCGGCATTTATTGTGATGAGCAGTAAATAACTCAGTCGTAGCCAAGTCCCTTACTTTTGCCCATCCCTTGGTTCCCCTTATCTCTTCTCCCCTCACTTCCCATCTAGCGGAATTCCAATGACAACATGTGGAGCCTGCGGACGGCACTGGTCGGCCGAGATGCTGACATAACCCCGGACCGTCATCCGCCGGGTGGAGACCGGTTTCCCCATAGTCGGAAGCACCGAAGCATCGGCACCGTTTATCCTGCCCGCCAAGAGAGAGAACAAGAACCTCGTGACCATGTCTCCACCAAAACTCCATTTCCAGAAGCTCGCTAGAAGGAATTCTATGCATGTAAGATTGACGGTCTTGGTAATGATTCGCCCCTCCGTATCAGATAATGTCGAGATAAGATCAAGGTCTGTCACACCGAACCCGGGCGTTCTCTCAGCCTTGGGCCAAGAGAACAAACTATTGCTTGGCGGGGCGCTTCTCATATCTCCGATGCAACCTCATTCTGGCTTGGTGAAGTCATGGGGAATTATCATGAGATACGCGGCCTGAGATCTCGTTGGTCAATTGAACATTGGCATTTTTTAGCGTATGCATTATTTTGCTGCCTGATGGCTTTTGGGGTAGTTTGTCATGGCAAGCATTTCAGGGTTCCACGTCAGATGCTTAATCGTATAAGCAACTGGATCAGATCTGCACATTGGCTGATTTGGTTGCACACGTACGCAGCTGTTAGCAACTTCACCTGAAGTCAGCCTTACTATAGGTAGTCAAAAGTGGCTTACACCAAGCTCGATTTTGCCAAATAAACTCAATTATCCTACGAACCTTTGTGTCGGGTACGCACCAAGCAATCAAGAGTCTAGCTGCTCAAAATAGCTATGCGAGAACTCTCTCTAACCGAGAGATATTGTAGGAACGTTGCATCGCGGCGTCTTCCACTACTAAGAACCTTAAACAAAAGACATGGTCTAGAGCGTAGGGCAGACTGACGAGCTGCAGCCACATAAGCCCAAGCTCTTATTTTTAGTGAAACTATGGCAAGGGATGACGATGTGGCCATGAGCTGAAAGCCACAGTTGCAAGTGTCAAACGGCACTTTCCAGCGAGGAGGTTATGATCCGATTGACCTTGCTTTATCAGGTTGGTGCCTTTTAGCTGACGGGTTCTAGACCCTACGATGACTCTTCTCCAGGGACCAAGCAGTGATGAGCTCTTAGACCGTTGTATCGTTTGCTCTAACGGCCACGCCGTCAATTACGTCGATAGGTTGCATCTCACAATGGTAGCTTCTGCTTCAAATGCGAGGTAGCTAAAGAAACTTTCATCACTCTTTACCAAAAAGCGTTCGTCATCTTGGCAACATCTTCTTTGGAACTAAGGTGCCGCTCGATCCTTGCTCTCATCTCTTATTAACAACTCTTTGCCTTTTGGGGTATTCACGGCAATTTTGAGATCAAGGTTTCGGCCCATGATCCATCCCGACTTCATACCTGCCTATATCAGCCCTATCTTGCGTACCGGGAGTCTCAGATCTTCGGGGCGTGCTGAGAGGTGGATATTGTTACGGCCCAGTTAGTTTAATCTTGGTACTTTTGTCGTACGATTTTCTTTTCTCTTTGTCATTCAGTGGAGTAGCTAGTTCTCTATTCATTGAAGAGATGAGCAGACCTCATCTGAGTAGCACCGAAGGGAACTTCCGTGGCAAGCACCCCATTTGTTGCTATGAGGCTTTGTGGTTGGATCAGTATGGTATTATATTTGCTAATGCGAGTGTATTGTGGTTTCTTTGCTCAAACTAGATGAGTGAGGGTATTTTGCTAGATCTACAATGAAGCTTATGAGTGATGCGAGCAATGAACAAGGAGTCACTGCCAGGAATGAGCCTTTTGACTGAATTTTATCACATACTGTACCTTGGTGTATGACTGGCACTGGAACTGCACCAAAGTTTTGAATGGTCGTGGGTAAATGCTTGTTGGTAAATCGAACAGCCATGGACAAGTCGCCCCTTGTGTTGTACTCTGGCGACTTTTCCCGGCTGAACCACTCAGTGTCTTGACTGCCATTGGAGATCAGATCTATGCAACGTGAGACTCCTCATGATAGAAGTACCTAGTCTATCTCTCCCCCTGTATTTCCTCGTAACTCTGTGAGGAAGCCAGACATCTAACCAGTGAGCGGTCCAGTTGACATACGTTTCAAGTGAATGGGCCAACAGAGTTTGAACTGAGATATGACAGAGCTGATGAGCTTTATTATTGGGTACACCATCTGCTTACCTTTTGAGCCCGTCGTTACACAACGCTCCGGAAGTGGACCTAAACCTGTTCATTGAGAAAGGAGACCGTATTTACAGACCGCCTGAGGAGACTAGGGGAGGAAAGAAAACTTGGGGCCTTGATCCTAAATGACAAAAAAACTCAGGTGACTTTGCATAAACTTAGGATATCTTTTGCTGGGTTTATTTTGATACCTGGTATTAAGGTCAGATATTTTCTTACTTCCTGAGGGGAGGTTTTTGTTGGGGGTGGATAAGAATACCCTTTGGCAGACGAGTATAGTTGTCTATCTACAAGTGTTCGTATCAATTTACATGTGATTGGACTATGTAATCGGTGTGACGTCGTGGTATAGTTCGCACGTATTGACCAGAAGCAGCGTGACATGTGAATACACCATGTGAGAATTCGTGCACATCATTCATTTGACACAGATATGCTACCATAGTGTTTTCAATAGCATGAGCAGTGAAAATGTATCGCAATCACAGATTCTGGCAATTCTTATACTGCTGAAGTGATACGAACTGTTGACATTGGCGGCTTAGTATAAAAGGAAGTCCTTCGTTTACTAGAATGACAGGTTCAAAGCCTACTCATGTTTTCTTTAACAAATGATCGGTTTCTGTCTGCGTCCAACTGATAGCGGTTTTGTTGAGGTGGCAAGACTTTTGATGAGTGACAGGAGTGCACTCATAAATGACACAAGTGATATTGGAATTGACTTCAACTACCCATGGTTATCCATTCCATGAAAGACTCGCTATGAGATTGACACTGGTATGATATTGTATCTGTCACTTGCTATGGCTAGTAGAGTTCGTATGAAATGCAGTAGCTCCTGATGGTTATTGGGCGGCAGGGCTGTATTACTTAGTACGCTGTTTCTTCCACAACTCGTACAAACTTGATCAAGCTTTCAAGGTACAAGTATACCCGCGCTATGGGCCTGGATTCATCCCCTAGCATGATATAATCCACTGCTGTACATGCTGATGGGAACAATGTACTGGTCTCCCTGAGTCATCGTTCGCAACTTCTTTTCTATTCAGAACCTCAAACTAAACCCCACTGTGTTTACGCTTAGGTAACATCACTCATGAGCTTCTAAGATATGAGTGTGTCTTTTCAGGAGACCCAGCCCTCATGTAGAGCGATGCAGCTTACTACATGATTATGAGCCATCTCGAGGGGCTATATATTCCTAAGTTGGCATTCGAGTCATACTTGTGAAACACAATCAATAGATTCAGCACTGATGTAAATATTTGTGAAGGTTTGAATATCAATGGACTTGCGGGAAAGTCCTGAGGTACCAACAAACAGCATCTACCTACAGTATTAAATATCATCTTGGGGGATCTTTCAAGTCATCACACATACTCCAACTCCCACCAGCACCTCAAAGGATACCATCTACCCTAAGCTGTAGACTGAACAAACCGCGTTGGCTGAGCATCATCGTCCTTAGGCTTAGGGTATGTCTTCTTGTCAATTGCAGCATACCCTTGTGAGAACTTATCCAACATGCTGGCAATCCACCTCTGTTCTTGCCCGGTAGCGAACTCATACACGATCCGTATGGCGAACCCAATTCGATATGGCCCCATGGTGCCTCGTCCCACAGATTCTACCGACCGCAATATCTGTTCCACCAAGTACCGGATGGATATCTCCGAGTTAGCTCGCGGTGTCCCGCACTCCACCAGTGTCTCTTCTAGAATGAGCATACTTGCCCAGTACCCCATGAGTAAGGACCCGGCTGCTGCCGACTTGTGTTCCAGCACTGTCCCGAACAACGAATTCGCCGGGTTGGTTGGCAGAACCTCGACCGGTCTTGGAAACTCAAGCGCGTCGAAATCGTCGAACCATCGCGCCAATCTGGCATGTTCCATGGTGGCTAGGTGGGCCAAGGCGGAGATTTTGTCAGGCTCAACAAACATGCCAGCCTTGTTAGCTTCTCTCAGAAGATAAGCCCCATGCAAAATAGGCGTGAGTTGGGCCAGGTTTGCAAGGAAGCCATCACCGACGCGGATGTGCTCAATCGGGGCGTCAGGAGCATATATGAGACGTCTACCGCCATCAGACGTGACATGCCTCCATGCTGG